CGTCGTAGAAAGTTTAGCCTTTAAAACATTTAATTACATGTTTAGTTTAGATTTCATATCTTTTGTCTATAGCACATGCTATAGATTCAGGATTAGGACTCATGAATGTATAGCCGCATGTGTTATTTTTTGTATATTCGAGATCATATGAAATGAAAGGGCATTATATTATGTATTGTATCTTTATTTCATTATTATTATGAGATGGTTTTTTTGCTAGTTATTTCAGGGTGTGACACAGCGGTACCTTTTTACCTTTATCAAATCAGCTTCGCGCACTTCTTTGCCTGACAACACGATGGTGACAACAACTCTCTTATACCACCACAACCGCCCCTCTTCTTCATAGAACTACCACCGAAATTGAAGAATTTCTCAACTGGTAGGACGGCTTAATCGACAATCCAAAGCTTGAAGGCATTCCAGATCTGAGAAGACTAAGAAAGAGATAAAGAGAGTACGAGAGAGAAAAAAAGAGAAGGCTATGAGTTAGTCAAACTCACACACACTGTCGCCGCCGCGCCGTAGCTGTATCGTCACCCTCCGGTGTCTACCTCTACCCCTATGATGACTCCTACAAGTAACATAATTCTTTGGTTTTGGTAGTGGAGATGGAATCGATAAGAGAAAGAGAGAGAAGGTTTAGGGATAAATGAGAGAGAGTGTTTGAAAACATAAAAAAAAAACGAACCGGATATATTATATATATATGTAAGGGTAGTTTGGACATTTTGCACTAACCTGTCCTTATGGACAAAGTTTTTTTGGAGAAATTCTATTTCCACACATCTACTTACCTATGTGTACATTATTTCTCAATATATACGCTTAGTAATTTGATTATTTGTTATTGTTCTCATTCTACACGCCAAATATTCCAATCATACCTTTAACTCATATCCGAGTACACACACTACCTCAACCATCTTTCCACAGACATCTTCAAAATTGTAGATCAACAGTTGACCCCTATTTCAATTCCACACAATGAAGACCCACCACCTCAACCCTCCATTAAAGACATAACTCAATTTTTAAAAAAATTGATAAAGAAGTTGGGGACCCAAACCATTGTGGAGGAACTACTCTCTCTTTCTCGACGACAAACCATTCACCAATCTCATTGACCTCTATTGCCCTTTCAATCCTTACTCAAAGAACCACTTCAAAGTCGTCAGTAGCTTTCACGACTTGATTTCTCTCTCCGACGATTGCTTCGGCTACACTTACACTATCATCCTTTGGAATCCTATGTTCGCAAGTCTCTAATTCTTTCAAACCCAAGTTATGTTTCGATCACTATGGTCCTTACATGTTCACTCTTGGGTTCGGTGTCGATCCTCGGACTAATGACCCCAAAGTTATGAGGGTTATGTATTTGTCTGGGCCTGGGAGAGAGAATTACTTAGTTCCTCCTAAAGTAGAGGTTTATGCTCTTAGTATTGGGAAATGGAAGACTGTGAATGCTTCCAAGAATAAAGCTTGAGACCCCTAGTGGGGGTGCTGGGGGTCTCCTGTGATTGGCCTAAAAAATAGTTTTTTTTTTTTTTTTTCTTCAGCCAACCCCAGGCCGACACGTGGCACTGGGGGGGGTCATTGGGGGTCACCCCCACTAGTGGTCCCCAGCAGAGTTGATGCTTCCAATATTAAGCATAACATGGTTGAGTTTTTCTGGTCTAAAGCTTTTGTCAATGGAGCTATGCATGCATTGGGTAGTATATTCTGCAATGTGGTGTTGTTGTTTGATATGGGTAGTGATAGGTCCATTATAGTAATGTTGCTTTAGGGTACAATTGTCATTAAAATAATATTTCATTAAGTGTGTGTACAGAGTTAAATAGACCTGTAGAAATAGAATTTTTCATTTTTTTTGGCCTAGATGTTTAGACAAAGAAATTTTGATTTTTGATCTTTCGACCGAAAGCCCAAAAAAATAAGGGGGGGATTACAATGGTGTAGCGAAACATGTCCCCAAACACCGACTTAATTTATTTTATATATATATATATATATATTGATAATAAATAAAAAATTTCACTAATAATGTAATAGTTTTTTTAAAAATTACACTAAACAGTAATTTTTCCAAACAATTACAACAATACTATAGGGTTGGCTTTTTAATAATTGTTTTTGTTAGGCTTTTTTTTTTTTTTTTTCCCCTTCAAATTTTAGTTTTTTTCTTTTTTAACAATTTTCAAAGATTTTGCACTTTTAAGTTCTATTTTACTAGATAGACCCGAAGGTATAAATTTTAAAAAAAATATATCTGAAAAGGTCAAAAATTTGTGTGCGTGCACGCAAGCTTATTTTTACTGTTTAATACATTTTTTGAATTTTAAATCTTTTAAATTTGTCTACACAAGACCAACATGAAAAATAAAAAAAAATTAACATAATTTAAAATCAATATCACTAAAAACAAAAAATAAATAAATAAGTAACTTTTCTAATCGTGTGCCAAACACTCCTGATTAACAAATCAACATATAAAAAGTTTTAATTTTCTTTTTCTTTTTTTTCAATTTTATAATATAATACACACTATATCTATATTTATTTTGACGTAAAATATTTTATACAAAATAATAATTTTCTTTTAAATTAATTTTACACAAAAAAAAAGTTTTTTTTTTTTCAATATTTAGTTGACACTTGAAAGAAAAATATTTTATTAACTAAAAGAGAAATTTTGATTCAAGAAAATATCGTTTATGACTTTTTAGTGAATATAGTTATTTGAAAAGATTAAGGGGTGATTTGTGATGATCTAAATAAGTATATTTTTTGAATTTTTATAAAATATGAGTTGGGTATGAATTGTGTTTGAAGTGACGTGGTAGAGAGGTGATATAACTTAAATAGGATGGTAACTTTTTAACTTTTTGACTTTTTTAGGTTATAACAAACAATGCCGAAATGTGTTGAAAAGGTAGTGAGTGAATGTTAACTTTATAAAAATTAATTTATAAAATTTTTAAAGATAAGTTATTTTTAAAAAAATAATGTAAAAATATTTTTCTTAAAAAATGTTTTACTTATTTTTTATTTAGTCAAACAACAAAGCATAAGTAAATATTTTTGACAAAAATATTAAACGTCAACGAAACGTATAACAAATATTTTGTTAACTTCTCCAGTAAAATGTTTGAACTTCCTTGTTAGTTGTCTACCATTTATTTCGAATAAAAAGTTTTCAAACGCATCACAAAAAAATACAAAATAATAAAAATGAAGCAAAAACTTTGACTTAAAATTAAAAGAGTAATGTATTTATTGTACTTTTTAGTTTTTTATTAAAAAAAAAATGTGGCAAAAGAAAAAGATAATTTGCTTGTTTTCACTTTTTAAAAAACACTTTTCAGAAAATTTTATTTTCTTATTTTTCGTGTTTTTTTGTTTTTACTGAATTTTTTTAATATTTTAAGCAATTTTTTTACTTTTTAGACACACCTAACATAAATACACTTAAAATGTAAAAAAATTATAAAAAAAATCTTTTAAAAATTCACTAAATACCAAAAATACAAAAAAATATAAGAATTCAGTACATTTTTTTATATTTTTATGTATTTATTAATTTTTTAAAATATTTTTTCACAAAATTTTTACTTTTTAGACACATCTAAGTAAGGTGCATCTAAAAAAGTAAAAAAAATATTTAAAATTTAAAAAATATTCACTAAAAACAAAAAAAACACGAAAACCAAAAAAGTCAGCTTTTAAAAAACTTAATCCAAAAAACTCAAACCAAACACACTGATTGATCACAAAAAGATTAAAAAAAAAATACTATTTTATGGGATGTCAAATAACTACTCTCTCTCTCTCTCTCCCTCTCTTATTTCTTTTCCCCCTCAAAATTAATAATAATAGAATAATAATGTTACACCCTTCTAATTTATCACTTCTAATTTAATGATGTGATATTGAGAGCTTTGTTTGAGATGTTTTAAATAAGTGTACTTTTTAACTTTTTATGAAATTTGAATTGAGTTTAAAGTGATATGGTATATAGGTGATGTGATTTAAATAAGATGACATGATTTAGATAAGATAGTGACTTTTTGACTTTTTTAAGGAACGACAAATAAGGCCTTAATCTCACATGATGAAATTTTGATAAATTAAAATTTGACATTTGTACACATCATTATAGATGATTTTTAAAACAACCCCGGTACAGAGCCCGAAATAGGGGCTCGAATTTGACTCGAAATTAGGGGGAAGAAGAAGAAGAAGAAGAAGAAGAAGAAGAACTGGACTGGAGGGGCCAATAAAATAGGGCGGAGGTGGAGACGGAGGCGGGCGGAGGTAAGGCTGCGATGCCGACGACCGACGAGTTGCGACGATCGGCCGACGAGCTGCGACGACGACGACGACTCTGTTTCTCTCTCTCGTCTCTGCTTTTCTCCTGTGTTCAACGAAGAAGAAGAAAAGAAAGAGAAAGAAAAGGAAGAGGAAGAAAAAAAAAAAATTGAAATCCAAAACGACGTCGTTTTGAGTTTCGAGCCAAATTCGAGCCCCTAATTTTGGGCCCTCAAACATTATTCTTTTTTAAAAATAGCACTGGTTTGATAAGTTGGGTTTAGGTGGGTTGATTCTAAAATAGACACAAAAAGATAAAATGTCACCTCCAAATCATAATCATTTCATTTTTTCTCTCACAAAAATAAAAAATAAAAAGTCAAAAATTTTATTTTAAACGAAACTTTTTAACCTCATATTAAAGTAATTAAAAACCAAAATATTCCAAACCAAGGCATAATGAATTAAGTGTCATTTTTATTAAAAATAAACAAATTTTCAAGTGCATCACAAAAACTAAAAAATAATAAAAATGAACAAAACCTTTGATTAAAAATTAAAAGGGCAATGTATTTACGCTATATATCCATAAAGAATCTAATTCTCTCTCTCTTTCTACTATTTCTTTTCCCTATGGGGTTGGAATTTCAAATTGAAATTTTGACATACAAAATTAATAAAAACAAAAGAGAGATTTTTTAACTCTTAAACCATCTCAAACCTCAACAGCTTTAACACTCCCCTCCCTAGCAACTTCACTATTTGCACCATTGACCCCTTCAATATTGTTATTATTATTATTACTACTTTTCACCCCCTTAAGAACCCCAAATTTCCTCAACAACCCCTCCCCCCAATCCCACAGATGCAAAATAATGTAAGTTCCAATCCCACCAATCAAACCGTATGCAATCGAGTAAGTCAACGGCATCAAAATCAACGTAACGAACGCCGGGATCGCCTCCCTCATGTCGTCCCATTCAATCTCCACCACCGATCTCATCATCAGAACTCCGACAAGAATCAACGGCGGCCCCACCGCCCACGGCGGAATTGAAGCCAGCAACGGCGTGAAGAAGAACGCCAGCAAGAAATACCCCGCCACAGTTAACGCCGTCAACCCAGTTCTCCCTCCTTCCCTTATCCCCGTCGACGATTCGATAAAAGCCGTCACCGGCGATGTACCCAACAACGAACCCACAACGATCGACGAAGCATCGGACATGAAAGCAAAGTATTGGCCTTCGAAATCACCATTTTCGTCTGTAAAACCCGCGAATCGAGCCATCGAATAGAGAGTTCCAGTGGTGTCGAGTATGTCTACGTACAGAAATGTGATCAGAGCTTCCCAGAAATGCCCCGTTCCCATGCTTTTGAAGCTGAGAGCTCCGGCTGTGTACTTGATTGCGTGAACATCCACCACTTTTTTGAAATATTGATAAGCCGTGTCGCCATCGGTGGTGTTTGGAAACACCGTCACGGTGGTGTTTCGAAACCACGACACGGCGGTGACGAAGATTATTCCGTAGATCATAGCACCCTTGATGTTTTTCACCATACAGTAAGCGATGATCACGAAACCCACAACGCCGAGCCAGAATGTAGGGCTTTCCATGCGACCGTTGAGGCAGAATATGCCGCCGGAGACTGTCCCGCCGGAGAGGAGGCTGACGGTGCCGTTTGCTGCTGTGACGACCGGAGCCAGGGAGGCGCGTGAGGAGCTTGGACATGCACCGAGTGTGACCAGCGTTGATGAGCTGTAACCGATGAGTCCGAGGCCTTGGTTGTTTTGTAATCCGATGAAAGCGAGGAAGAGCCCGATACCGGCGGAGGAAGAGATTCGTACCGGTTTCGGAACGAGTTTCGCGAGTTTCGCTCGTAACCCAATTGCTGAAATCATCAAGAAGATCATGCCTTCGATGAAAACAGCGGTGAGAGCGGAACGGTACGAGACGTTGCCGGAACCGTGAAAACCCACGACAGTATAAGCGAAATACGCGTTGGTTCCCATGCCCGGAGCGAGAGCGAGAGGAAGATTCGCGAACGTTCCCATTATCACACATCCGATGAGAGAAGAAGCGATGGTGGCGACGATGAGGTCTTTTCGGACCCGCTCGAGGCAAGCGGTGTAACCCGGATTGACCGGATCGAATTTGCAGGAGGAGTCGGGTTGGATGAGGGTGAGGTTCTTGCCAGAGCAGTTGGCGGCGGAGACGGTGGAGTCGGAGCAGAGGGGGATGCAGTCGGAGACGGAGCAGGTGGCGCCGGAGTCGGAGAGGATGGAGGCGTTGACGGCGAGGATGTAGGCCATGGTGAGGAAGGTGGCGGTGCCGGCGCGGAGCTCCGTCGTGAAGGTAGTGTTCCGTTCGGCCAGTTTGAACCGTTTTCCGACTCTGTTCTTCGCCATGAACATGTTGAGCCGGGTCAGTGGCGACCGGTTCGCCGGTCTACGGCTCTCCATCTCCATAATCTACTGCTGAAGTTTTTTAAGGTTATTTATGTGTTTTTATACATATATATATATATACAGAGAGAGAGAGAGAGAGAGAGAGAGGAGATGAAGATTCTGTTGTGGGAGGTATCTTGTATATATCCCCTAGCTAGATGAGTATCTGAAAAGCACGGAGTCAGGAGGATGACTTTGAAATTGTGAATGACTTTGAAATTGTGAGGTTTGATAAACAAACAACATGTGAAAATAAAATTCAAATAAGACTATTATTATCGGCACATCCACATTGACGTTAGTGTAGTCGATTATCTGACCTAAGAAATTTTTATAAAGGTTTTACAAATTTTTAATTCACATTGATGTTAGTTTAATTCAAATTTTATGTTAATTTTTATTATTTTAAATTCAACAATTTTTTTATATATTTTAAAGTTAGTTTTAAGAGAACTCAATTCAAAAATTTTAATTTTAATTTTATTTAATTAAAAATATTTTCTTTATAAAGTCATTTTTAACTAAAATGATCAAAATACTCATAAATATATATTGTACTAGGGGTGAGCAGCGGATATACCGATCCGTCAAAACTGACCGAACCAAACTGATTTGCTGCATTTTGGACGGATGTGTGATGACGAGTTGACGGTTGCGGATTGATTTTCTCCAATCCGCCAATACGGCGTACAGATGGCGGATTTGAGATTCCTTTGGCCACAACCGAACCGCCAAACCGCGAACACCCCTAATAATTTATAAGACTTTGTGTTTCAATTTGTTTGAATATTCTGTTTGTGATATAGATGTATTATTTATCTATATTTTTTGGTTTTTAAATCTATCTCTAAAAATAATAAATAAAAAGTATGATATATGCTGGTTGGTTTTTATTTTCAAAAATAGATATAGATGTAACAATACAGAGACATACAATCTCTACTACTACTCTGTTCATGGTTGATGGTTTGAATTGTATTTTGGTGGTTTGAATTGTTTTTATATTTTGAGAATCACAGATTGTAATACTTTATGCAGATGAGGCATACTGTGATTGTAGTATGTGGATGAGACATGCAGTGATTGTGAGATTCTAAAGTTTCAAACTTTCTTGCTTTGGATGAGGTATGTAATGATTGTAATATTTTTTTAAGTCATTAACTGTAATACTTTCTTCTTTTTCTTCTTTTTTTTTTTTTTTTTTTTTAAAGAAGTGCACAAGTTGAATTATGTTGAAAGTTTATAAAATTTTAAACCGCCAAACCGATTCGCATCCATCCACCAAACTGCTAATCCGCTCAATCCACATCCGCCGGATTGGCGGACGTATACGGATTGATTTTCTCTAATCCACCAATCTGGCGGATGGAATGGCGAATTGGAGGTTCCGTGGCCGCAATCGACCCGCGCCCACCCCTATATTGTACACATGGTGGAAACCAAATCCTGAGCTCTCTCATCCTCTCTCTCTTCTCTCTCCTCTTCTTCGTTTCTCACCATGTTCCTCTCTCTAGTTTTACGGCTTGGTCTGGTGATCTATTTCTCTCACTCCTCTCCTCATCTCTCGCTTCTCCTACCTCACCACCAACATATTCATCAATACCATTTCTCATCAAACTAAATTTGACACGATAAATAACATATGATAGTATATATTTTATGCACATCATCTCAAATTTCAGTAATAGCGCAATTAAGGCTTCGTTTGGAAGTAGATTATTTTAGTAATTTTTTGACTTTTTAACTAAAATATGAAATAAAAAAACTAATATCTTTCGAATAATTTTTTGATTTTTTACAAAAAAATGTGCAAGAAGAGAAAAAAAGAATTTTTGAATTTTTTGTATAAGTTATTGACTTTTTGATTTTTTTTAATAATTTTTTGACTTTTTGACTAAAACTGTTGTATGCCAAATGAGGCCTAAATAAAAATAGCTAGAATTGCTCTAACAATGTTGTGTTATATTTGGCAGGATGCTTCGCAAATTGCAGTGTTACTGTTGTTAATCATGGTGAGAATAAGGGTTGGTTTGGCATCCCCTAAATAATTCATCTTATTATCTTTTTATCTTTTTTTCATCACATCACCTCTCTACTTTTCTGCACATCTTTTCGTAAAAAGACAAAAAGTGCACTTATTTAGATCATCCCAAATAAGCCTTAAATTAGTAAAAATTATAACAATTGATATTATTATGACATTTTGTTTAGTATTATTTTTTAGAAAATATATTTATAGAGCCGTTTCATAAAATTATTTTCAATTTTTAGTTTTTTCTTTTATAAAAAAAATAGAAAAATTATGTTTGTAGAAAAAATAATAATAAGAACAATAAAATTTTGAAAACACAAAACAAAAATAAAACTAAAGCCTATTTTGATAATTGAGTTAAAAGTCAACTTTTTAACTTTTTAATTGTTTTAGGTCATATGACCTCTGTACTTTTTTACATATTTTTTTAAACAAATAAAAAAGATTTAAAAATTAATTTTTAACTTATTTTTCAAAATAGGCTTAAAGTGTATTCATAAACAACTTGAAAAAAGTTTTTTTTATTAAAAAATCAAAAAATCATTAAATTATTTGTCATAGTTAAAAAAGTCAAATGTCACGTTACTCAAAAAATTACTTTAATAACTTTTCAAATACATTAATTTTTTTAACTTCTAAAAAAATGAAAAAAAAACAAAAAGGATATTATAAAAATAAAAATAAAAATAAAAAGCAAACTCAAACACCCCAGTACTAAAAGACAAAAAAAAGTAATTAAGATTCACTTTTGATAAATAATAAGTAGGGTCTGACTTTTTGCAAATGATTGAATCGAATTTGCTATCTCTAGTACACAGTTTGCGTTTGTGTTAATCAAAATGTAGTTCACAATTTGACATTTGATAGACGTGTGAACACACGGCCAGCCAGCTAGCATAAGCAATAACATTGTTCAAACATAAATAAATTAATAAATAAATAAATTTTTTAAAATTTATTTAAAATATAAATTATTTTTTATAGTTTAAAAAATTATAAATATTTCTTTGTTAAATTTTTTTATTTAATAGAATTAATTAAAAATTAAAATTTTTAACTTTTCTCTTAATGTGTTTTAGAGATAAAAAGTACGAAAAGTTGTTTGGTTTGGTTTTTTTTAAAAGATGTTTTGGAAAATTATTTTGAGAGAGAGTTTTGAAAAAAGTGATTGATTTGATGGGTGTGAGAGAGAGATTTGTTTGAAAAACTTGTTTGGTTTACAAGTTTTGAGAAATTTTTTTAGGAAAATTTGTTTGGTTTGATTACTTTTAAAAACTTATTTGTAGAGAAAATTTTCCAAAAATTTTTCACAAATACAAACCAAACGAATCCATAAACTTTAGGGGTAGAATATAATTTCCAGAACTACATAGGATAATTCATAATTTAAGTAAACTTCCTAGGGTGAGTTTGTAATTTACCAAAAAAACAAAAAAAAGCATAAGCAATAACAACGTGATCAAGTTGTCATATTTCAAGGCTTAAATAATGCAATACTGTTATAAATTGAGATATTTTTAGCACGCAAATTGTAAACAAATGAGAAAGTTGCAAAATAATTATATTATAAATAAAATTATTTTTATTTTTTTGGTTTTTTATTCTGAGCAGTTACTTAAGTGGTAATAGAGAGGACATTTAGACGTTAAAATGAGTGAAGTTTCAAGTTTAAACATATGAAGAGACGTTGACTTGTGTTGTACTAATATGTGAACCGCTATCTTGTAAAATATAGAAAATATTTTTTTGTGTAACTCTGACACTCAGAAAGAGTTGCACCAAACATATCCAAACACATGAATGGGATTTGCACAGGAGACTTACGCCATCATGAAAACACAACAACACAACTCTATTGAAATGTGATTTTATCATATTTATTTAGAAAATAAATTTTTTTTTTAATTTTTTTAAAGTTGGAATGGTCACTGTTGTCATTTTTGGGCTTATATTGATGGCTCAAATCATTTATTTTGTAAGGACTTTTGTAGAAATCGTTTATATTAAAAATCAAGTCGATTGGATATGGGAGCCACTCCATCAAATTACATTTATCTGAAAAATAATTTACAAACAACATAATTTTAAAAGTAGTCCATTAGTTATTTTTCAAATATTTGTGATAGGATGAATAGCTCTGGATATTCAATCAACTCGATTTTCATTATGTAAGATCTTTTCTAAAAGTCGTACAACATGAGTTTACTTATACGAAACAAAAATGGGCCTACAATGAGCTAGACTAGACCATTTAGCTAGATATCCTAACAGAAGAAAATCTAATCCTCCCAAAAATAATACCTAAATTAAACATTGTGTGCTTAAAATTTATTTTAAATGTAGATCTCACTTTATATTAATTAAATTTATGACAAACATTCACTCTGTTTGGTTTAAGAGTTTTAAAAAAAAAATTTCAAATTTTCAATTCATACTTTTTTTATACTGATTTTTTGATATTTTAATCATTTTTTTTTTCCGTTTTAGATTCTCTTTATGTAGATACATTTTAAAAGTATAACATTTGTCAAAAAAATCTTTTAAAAATTCACTAAATATAAAAAAATATTTTTAATATTTTTTTGATATTTTTATAGATTTCTTTACAGTTTTTTTTTTTTAAAAAAAGAAAACTTTTTAAGTGCATTTAAATTAAGTGTATTTAAAAAAAAAAATTTTGACTAGAGTATGAATTTTTTTACTAAAAACAACAAAATAGGTAAAAATATATTTGCTTTATTTTATTTTTGTTAAAACTCCAAATCAAAGAGTGATTATTTTCGAGATAAGATTATTCTATAATGGATCATTTTTTTGATAAATCCTCTTATTAAGTGTTTTATTCCATCTAACATATATTTTGTTTTATTATTTCATTAAGTCATATTTAATGTAATATGACGAAATTATCCTTTCTAATTTTTTGCACATGTTTATATTTGAAGCTAATACATAATAATATTCTCTCATTTTATGGAAAAATCTCTCTCGTATTTTAAAGAGAAAATAATTCCCTTATTCTATGGAGAAAATCTCTCATTTATTCTAAGGAGAAATCTCTTCTGCATTTCATGGAGAAAATCTCAAATTATGAATTTTGAACCTTTTTATAATTTTAAAATTTTAAAAATAACGCATCAAAAAATCTGAATGAAAATTAAAATACGATGTGAA